CAAAATGCTAGGACTGATTGCCAACATGCAGAGGGTATTCGTGTATGTGGACGAAGACATGGTAAAGAAAATCATTACACCAGTCATAAGACCAAGTCTCGAGTACGGTGCAGTGTTATGGAGTCCATACTTGAAAAAGGATGTAGACAAACTGGAAAAAGTTAGGACTTACTACTTTGGAAGAAAGAAAGAAAAGAGCGGGCATCATTATGCTGTTAAACAGTATTACAGCAAGAGTGAAGTTAAGATTAAGATGACTCTTTAATCATTAAGTTGAAAGTAAAAAGAGGCGTCTCCCAAAAAACGTAGTTTGCCAAAAATGTGCATCAATTTAAAAAGTTATACGATAATTTAAATATAGCAAACGGGACCACCTGAGATTAGCTCTTATCCCGTATTGAAAACATAGGTAAAAACAACTAGGTAAGCGCGCACACACTCTCTCACACACACACACACACACACCACACACACACACACACACACACACACACATATATATATATATATATATATATATATATATATATATACATATATATATACACGCTTCCCTTATAACAAAGGAAGCGAAGGGATAGTCCCTTGTCCCTTCCATTCTTCTTGGGCGTCCCTATCGGCATAGGGAGAGAGGGAGAGAGAGAAGGAGAGAGAGAGAGAGAGAGAGAGACAGACAGACAGACAGTGAGAGAGAGAGAGAGTCAGAAAGACAGAGAAGTGGAGAAAGAGAGAATCTAAAAGACAGAAAGGGAGAGAGAGAGAGTAAGAAAGACAGAGAAGGAGAGAGGGGGCGGGGTGGCATGGCACCTTGATTTAAATGACAGACGGAGTTGGAGTGGTCGGTGCACTTCCCAATTTATTCACTGACTGCCTTACTTACAGATACCTAAGAAAATTAACACAGCACGCAATGAGAGCAGGTGTACCACAGGGAAGCGTCGTAGGACTTAAACTGCAGAACATCTTAATCTGAGGTAACGAATGGTAGGTGAAGTTTGCGCCTATTAAGACCCATATAATGGTGTGTATCGGAACACTCCCCATTGTCAAACTCCATTTTGACGGTAAAGTTCTACAATCTTAAGGCGGAGTAGAAGTACCTGGTGTTTCTTACGACAAGAAAAATCTGATTCAAAACACATCGTGAATATCGTCAGAAAAGCATCAAGAAAAAAACTTGAGTCACTGAGACGCATTTCACGGCTTCTGGATGCAAAAGGGAGAGAGGTTCTCCACAAAGCACAGATCCGCCCTCTGATGGAGTATGATCCTCTGTCATGGAGACGAGTTTCTAAGAAGATTCTCGATCTCCATGACAGTACAATCCTGATCCATCACCATTATGAAAAGTGAAGATCCTAGGACTTCAAACGGCCTTCAGAATCTCCATCTCTAGAGGGACGTGGCGGATCTCACCGTCGTGTTGACAATACAAGAAGTGCCACACCTGCAACCGCTGTTCGTCGGACATGAAGTGCCACACCTGCAACCGCTGTTCGTCAGACATGAAGTGCCACACATGCAACCGCTGTTCGTCGGACATGTACCACCAGGCCCGTGGATATAAAGGACGTACTAGGGCAGCTACACTTACCAGAGACAACTTATTCCAAAGTACACTCGGATGTCGAATACTGTTGTTTTTTGTGTTCGTAAAATTCTTAAAATTCTTGTAAATAGATTTTTTTTCCAATTATAGTTTAGTTGTCTTTTACCTTTATGATATTAGCTTCTAGCTTAGTTCAGTTTGTATCAGAATATTGATTAGTGAGTTATACTTTATAATGGTTTGACTTTTGAATTATCTACATTAAAATGTGTAGCTAATAAATTATGGAACGAACCAGTACCGTATTTGGGGTCAGAATGAAAAGCGTGTTTCATACTTTATCAACTAATC